TACCTACTTCAGCTTCCAATGTCTTCCTTCATTTTTGCCCTGTGCTCTAGAACAGCCCTCCAAAAGTAAATGAATAAGAAATTCTATCCTCCGCTTCCACGTGCATATATTACAAATTGAAATTACATGAGGAAAAAATTCTTACAAATAGCAACATTTCTTCATTGATTAGGTTAATTGTGGAAGATTTTAGTTATGCTTTATTTCTATTTCTGAAGGTAAACAGAGTAACATTGTGCTTGACTTTGGGAAGATACAGTGGTATTCAAACAGCACTTGTAACGTTTTTGTTTCTGTCTTTTACTAATCACAATTTCTCTGAGAGGCTGTATTTTCATTTGTGATTTAACGGCTCAGTGTCTTGTGGCATGACAGTCACTTTGAAATATAATGCATAACTTTCAAATAAAACAAAATTTCTTCTATGTAGCTGTTTTTAAAATCTACGATTGTATTCAGCATTTTGGCCAAATCATCATGAGTCTTGTCTCATAGCATTCTCCATAATTCCTTTAAATGGTTTCATAAGCAAGTCCAGTTGTATCAGTTGCTGATTGCCTCCCTCATAGTTGCTAAAACGCATTATTTTAGAACGATTATTCAAGAGCTTTCCTTGAATTTCTTGAATAGATTTAGAAATAATTAGCATTTGGTAGCATGTGGGTTGCTAACAATTGTCCTACCGGTGCAGTAATTTGGTAGAATCTGTCAAATGTACTATTTGATGATACTGTAGCTCCAGATCGAGATGAATTTACCATTCACTCATCGTATAATCAGTGCACAGAGAAATGTTTTCTTTCAGAATGCGTTTGGACAACTTTACATGTAGAAAGTTCAATAGCTTGAAATCAAGTCTCGTCCACCAAAGGCCTCTGTGGCGCACGTTTGTCTTTCCAGTGCAGTCCAGCTGGCAGCCGGCACCGCAGGCCCCGTGCAGGAAGGCTTGCTGCTCCCACCCTGCCTTCACAGGTCCTTGGCTGAGGGATCTAACAGCTGACTCTGAGCCAAGAGAACAGAACAAAGAAGAAGAAGAGGAAGGAAAAGACTCTCTTGGTTGCTACTGACCCCTGCCATGGTGAAGTAGAGGGAAACCTGGAACTGGTTCCAGGTGCGAAGTGCTATATGCCCGGGCACCCAGCTCAGACTCCAGCTCACAGTGGTATGAGCCTACTCTAGTCCTCTCTGCCCCTTCGGGCCCCTTTCTTCATTTCTCAGCAAACCATGGCATGCTGATAAAAAAGAAAATATTTCATTTATCCAGTTTCATTGAAAACTAGACCAAAAAATGAGAGGGGGAAAAATCTCTTCTGAAAAGATCTTAACCTGGAGAGGCAGCAAGGTAGACACATTTGGGTTTGACTTCCATTTCCCAAAGGGCATAAGCATGGTCGCAGTGGGGAGAGAAGGTGTTGCATGCAACTTACAATATTAAAAAACAAAGCAATACCAAACAACCAAACCCACTGCTCTTGAGTCGATGCCAACTCAGAGCCACCGTACAGGGCGGGGTGGACTGCCCCTGAGTTTCCCAGACTGTGCCTGTTTAGGGAGGTCGAAAGTCCTGGTCCTTTTCCCAAGGAGCTGCTGGTGGTTCTGAACAGCTAACCATTCCGATCACAACCCAAGCTGTAACCACTACACCGAGTGGAACATCTTACAGGTCTAATTTAAATGCATCTGACATTTTTGTACATTTTAAGGACTTTCATTGCAATTAGGAAAATTGCTTTCTTCAGTAATTTGTCTTTGAATGTTACCGGGCATATGACTGATCCAGTTGCAAATCATTCTGCAGCAGACATTTTTATTGGTGCCCCTTTCAAGTTTGTATAATTTCATACAGTCTTTTTTTGTACTTTAGAAATTCAGAATTTAAAAATTATAAGATAAAATATTTACTTAATACACTAACGAATGTTTGATGCTGTTGGAATGAACACATGCCACGTAACTCAAAGTCAACATCTATCCTTACTTATGCAGTTTCAAAAGTTCCAGTGTGTTCTACATTTCAGTGAACAGACGTGTCGTGCAAACAGGGATATTCCTGGAACTACATGTTTGTCCGTATGTTATTTATTTTACTTGCAGCAAGTTTAGATTTCAACATCTAAAACTGCAATTGCAGAAACCCTCTACGTTATGGGGGGAAACTTGCAATTGTTACAGCTGACTTCAGGAGCAAATGGGGTATTTTCATCCAACAGTACAGAAATAAGAAAAGCTAAACTTTTATGAGTGGAAAAACAGGGTGTATGGCTATTCTACAAGTAACATCTGACTCATTTCACCATTATAATTAAATGTCAAAAGACAAGCAAAAGGTCTTTGTGTTTCTCATGAGGGCTTGTGTACATAGCTACGAAGGGAATAATAGGGAGGAGGATGCATAGCATGGAAAAGAACTACACCAGACAGTGTGAGGATAGTCAGTTGTAATCGATTTTCAAAACATTTTGTAAGATTTATAACTGCACAGCCCATTTCATTCTTGTTGTTAGAAAATACCAGCTTCATAGACATGTAAGGAGTTATCAATTCCTCGTTCATACAAGGAGTTCTGGTGGTGTAGTGGTTACACTTTGGGCTGCTAACCGCAAGGTTAGCTATTCAAAACTACCAGCCACTCTGTGGGAGAAAGAAGATGCCGTCTACTCTCATAACGAGCTGCAGTCTCAGAAACTTCAGGCAGAGTTCTCCCCTGAGTCCGAATTGCCTGGAAGGCAGTGAGCTTGATCTTTTGGAGTACATAAACAAAATTAAAGTGAGTTTTGATCACACTCTAAAGCACATGTTGCTAGAAAGAATCATTTAATTCATGTTTACAATATTTATTAAACTCCAACTTTGTTCCTGGCAGTTGACTGCTTTTAAGTAAATTA